TCACTTTTTAAAAAATTATATAAATTTAGCCTCATTCTAAGCAATAATATTTATGCAATCAAAGCTTATAGTTCAAAGTATTTTTCCAAATACATTTTAAAATGTAGTCATGCATCGCTTAAGATGGAAATACATTCTGAGATCATTATGCTAACATCAGAGAATGTACTCACACAAACCTAGATAGTAAAGGTTAAACGCTCAATGTGGCCCCTTGATGCAATCAAGAGACAAAGTAAGCACAGGATGTAAGGTACAAGCTGCTGCAACAGCAACATAGCATATTGTTTTACAATAAACTCTTCTTTCTTAATAAGTAGTACTCCTTAAAATAATGATAGGAAGTATAGAAAAGTAAGTATATAAACCAGTAGTATTTATCATCATTATTAAATATCCTCTACCATACATAATTTTGTGCGCTGTACTCTTATACAACTGTCAGCACAGGTTTGTTTATACTGGCGTAACCACAAACACATAATGCATTGCCATATGACATGATGGATCTGATGTCACCAGAGATAAGAACTTTCTAGCTGCATTTATAATTGTATGAGACCACTGTTCTGTATGTACTTAACTATATTTTGCACTCTCTACCTGAATCCAAATAGACTGGGATTAAATGAGATTTCAAAAAGTAAGAAAATTTCTTAAAGGTTAAAAAAGTTATACTGCTTTATAAAAATACTTATATATTTAAAATACAATATGATGTATGTGTTTTTTCAGAGTTTTCCTATTTGTCTGAGTTTTTATATTGTAACCACAACCAACTCATGCTAGTCAAATCCAGATGCATAAGCTAATCTGTTAAATAGTATCAAATGTTTATACAATTTATTTGGTAATAATGGTTTGTAGCCTGACTGGCTGACACCTTCAAAAGAATAAATGAAAGAAGTGATCTAGAGGTGGCATGTACTCGTCCCTAAAACAGCTCTTCATATAGCAATTTTACTATCCATTGTGCTGCTTTTCAGAGGCAGAGCCATATATGTGCAACTTAATATAACAAATGATGAATATCACTGATGAACACGTGCTTGCAAATCAATAAGTGAAATATTAGAAGCCCAATGGGAAAAAAGGCATAGGACATCAGTAGGCATAGAATACAACTGGAAATGTGTAGAAACACAAATGGAAAATAAAATGTAAAAAAATCTTCAATGATATCACTAATAATCAAATAAATGTTAAACTGTTATAACTTTTTCCTTGTGAAATTGGCAAAGATGAGGCTGGTTATGTGACTGTGCTTTGCGTGAGACAGACCCTGGGTTTGATACCTAGCAAAGATGAAAATGGGGATACCTCAGTATTGGTAATAACATGAGCAAAGTATAACCTTTCTGGTGGATGCCCTAGCAGTACGTACACAAAACAGTGCTTTCACGTTTATACTCAGCAATTTCATGTCTACAAAGTCATCCTAAAGAAATAATCTGACTCTGAATCTGAACTGAAAGTTATTCTCTTGAGAATATGAATAGTTTTTTAAAAGAAAATATCTAACAAAAGGTTGGTTAAATACACAACAGTAACTCATCCATACCTAAAAGACATTAAAAAGATAATGTAGGGGCTGAGGCATAGCATGGTGGCATGTTGAAAGCCACAGTTTAGTCAGAATGACGCCTGGCATTTTTGCCAGAGGGAATGGTTGAATGGTGACCCTGCTCTGGGATTAGGGCGGATCCTGCTGGGATTAGGGCGGATCCTGCACCGGTGAGAGTTCAGGAATAAAGGTTGCTGTTTGAACCTACAAGGCTGTGTGGCAGCTTGGTTATTTTGTGCCCAGCCAGACTGCGGCAGTGGCAGAATGCTGGCCTAGCATGCACAAGGCCAAGGTTCCAGCCCCACACCACAAAAAATAAATACTAATAATAAATAAAATATAAACAAATAGGGCTGGGAATATAGTTCAGTGATAAGAGAATTTGCCTAGCATACATGAGGTCATGGGTTCAATCCCCAGTACTGCAAAATAAATAAATGATAATTTTAGTTCTGAAAATGAAAGATGCTCCATATATAAGCTGTATCATAAAACACTGAATATAATCTCATTTTTCTAAATAACTGTGTTTAGACATATTCATTTAGGTCAAGGGATAGCAATATAGCTCAGTGATTGAGCATTTGCCTAGCATGTGTGAAGCCCCAGGTTCAATCTCCAGCAACCAACTCTCTCTCTCTCTCACACACACACACAGTCAAGAAGAGAGGCTGACAAATCTTTTTATGTGACAGATCAGTAAATAAATCTTTTAGGTTTGTGGGTGATATGGTCTGTCAAACTTGCTCCATTATCCTTATAATGGGAAAGCAGTCATAGATAATATGTAAATAAACATGAGTAACCAATTCTGATAAAACACTAAAATTTGAATTTCACACAATTACTATTTGTCACAAAATAGTCTTTAAAGGAATTTTTTTTCAATCACTTACAAATGAAAAAAAAAATGCTCATGGCTCTAGTTCATACAAAATGGGTCTCAGGCCACTTTAGGCCTCAAGCTATGGGCAGTCAACCCCATGTCTAGAATATACAGTAAAGCATCATCAATGGATATCTTTTGAAGATGGGATTACAGTGTCATTTTTTTAATTACTTTTCTTAATTTTGTGATTTCTATCAATAGAACAAAATAAAAAATCAAATATCTGAGTGCTGAATAGAAATCAACATGTTGAACAGCAGTGATACAGCAAGACTGCCCAAGAAAACAAACTGTAGAAACTGAAGTTTATCAGTACTTCAGTATCTACTGTACTATGCTGTCTCCCCTTGCCCGGCTTTTTCAGGCTATTTGCTTTCTTCATTCCTTTCCTTATGTCCATTAATTCACCAGTTACCCACATCTATTTCTTTTATGTTCATCAATCATGTCAGCCCAATAATTCTTTCACATCTCAGGTAAAGTTATGTTTGACAGTGCCAGCTCAATAGCTTCCAATGAAATAACCTTGAACACTTCCATGTTCATTAAGTTAAACTCCTTAGACATGGACTCAAGTTCCTTCACAAGCAATCTGACCTTACTCTGAGAATTCTGAATCACTCTCTTATGGTAGGAATCCTAAACTTCAATTAATTAATTACTTCATTTATTTTTGGACTGGGAACTGAACCCCAGCAGTTCTTTACCACTGATCATACTATTTCCCCTGACCTATGTTTTTTTATTTTGAGACAGGGTCTCCCTAAGTTGGTGAAGTGGGCCTCAAACTTGGCACTCTTCCTGTTTCAGCCTCCCAAATTGGTGGGATTATAAGCAAGTACCAATGCACCCAGCCTAAACTTCAATTTAACAGGATTATTCTACTGTGCTCTGAATAAGCCACCTGTCTCTTGTAGTTCTTTATTCCTCTTAAACTATTTACTTCCATAATAGCCATGTTCAACTAATGTAATATTGGGAAGATGAGGGATACAGATGAAATAACCACTATGAATATCCAGTATTTGCCATGTGCTAAAGAAATGGTAGAGATTATGCATCATGTACATTTCCCCTATTTCTTTCCCCTTTAATGGCAAGAATAAAAATATTTTAATACTTGTATTTGTTAAACTATGTTTATGAACTTTATTAATAACCTCAAAGTTAATTGTATTAATCATTTACTGTTTAAAAAAAAACAAAAATACCTCTCAATATTGTTTTGTACTCACACTTCCAGGTTATTGTCCCATCCCCCATTACAGATTTGTAGCTCAGAAGAAATAATTTTACACATCAGTTTCCTATTCAACTCTTAGGATATTGGGTTAAGGTTAAAGAGCAAAATTTTTGCAAGGAGAAAGCCCAAGAGTAGCCCTCCTGAATTCCAGCCCTCCCCTTTCAGTAGCATAATTTTTAGGCAAATTAACTTTTTCTCCTCAACTGTAAAATGAGGATAACTCCTACTTCATAAGACTGTTGTAAAAATTATACGAATTGGTGGAAACAACTGCACAGGGCTTTATACATAGTAAGAGTTCCATAAACAGAAATTAGCAATATAATTATTACTGCTCAAAGCGTAACATTAATGCCTACATTATTTGGTACCTTTGTTTCTGGTGATTTTGAGAATCTGAACACAGGGTTGTGAAACCTGTAGTACATTCTTGTAGTACAACTAAATTAGCGGTGTTCATACTTTTTAATGTGTGCCTTATTTTACTCAACTTCTCTAAAAAGCAAATGGTTAGAGGTAAAGTTTAACTATTGATCATGAAAAAAAGTGAATACATAAAAGAGATGAAATGATATATGGCATATACATACTTCAAAACAACCCGGAGAGGGAACAAGAGTGGCCATAAATTAATAATTACTGAAAATGGGTGAGGCATACATTGAGTTCTTCATATTATTTGCTTAACTTTATAGTCTGAAGATTTTCATAATTTCTTAAAACGCTCAAAGGCCTACTTATCTAGGGCTTCATGCAAATCCTGGGCATGGTCAGGGAAATACATATTGGGAAGTCCTGGGAGGCAAACAGTGACGGCGCAATGCAATCCAGGTGTAGCCGGTTAAACCTCCCAGGCAGAACCCCGGGTATGCTCCTCCCCTGGAGTCCGCGAGGCTGGCTCCACGAGGCCCGGGAGAGGGCACAACACCGAGGGGAAACGCCGCCTGGCGGCCAGCACGGAAACTGGGGTTCCCAAGACCGTCAGGAGACGGGGGAGGGGCAGGAGACGTGGGATAGGTGGGTGGGTGAGCGCGTCCCAGTCCGGTGGGCGAGGCAACTTCTCTCAGCCCCACCGAAGCACCCGGCCCACCAAGGCTCTCGGAACCGCCCGCTGTCTAGCACATCACTGCCTCCCTTCGATCCTGGAGCAGACGCCCGGCCGGCCTATGGAAGCCCGCCGGCCTCCCAGACCCRGGTTACTTCAGCTCCTGCCCTGTTACCGCGGCGTCCCACCGCCGTCAATCCCTGGGCCGCTTCATTTCCCCCCCTGCCAACCGTTCTTCAGAGTCCCCAGACTCACTTACCTCGGCCGCGCGGCAGCCAGCACCTTCTCCTGCTACTCCGGCTTTCAGATTGGCTGTCCCGGGACGTTGCTGTCAATCAGCCAATCCCCGCCCCGAGCCGGGATCAGGCTGACCAATTAACTGTTTGTTCCGGCTCGGAGGCGGGCTCAGGGAGCCGCGGGCGGAAGGTGTGGCTACCACCTCCAGCGCCGGCAGCCACCTTTCCCCGTCGGTGTGCGCACGCGCAGGAGTCCGTGATGGGCGTGTGCTTTCGCCAGGCCTTGGCTTTGTGTCTTCACTGCTCCGCCCTGGGAAATACTTTTGTTTGTAAACGTCATGCTCTAGGTGTGTAGGAAGACCCACATTCTGAAGGTAACCGCAAGTGTGTATTATGCTGTGAGTCTTAATCCTAACCTGTGTTGCACTTTTCGTCCCATGCTGTGGGGACTTGGTTTCACCCAGCAGATCTTTATACTGCGAACCTCACGTCCGGGGTGCCTTTCTGTTTGGGAGGAGTAGGAGAGGGGGTTTGCTCAAAGTGGATGAAGATTTTTACAGTACTGCCTTCAGGTCCAGTGTCTTTGTAGTCTGGATCATTGTGGTACATGCTTCTTAAATACCTAATCTTGCCCTGATAATATGATCCTTGCATGTATAATTAGCCAAATTCAGCAAGGAAATGTGTTTAGGAGTGATAAAACATTAACATGTAGAAGACGACTATCTGTATTTCTTTTTGGCTTTTCAAGAGACTGTTGCTCATTGGCTGTCTCTCTTACCCTCCCATTGCAGTTGTTCCAGGAGGTTACTGGGTAGGTGCTTGAGCTCAGAAGTTCTTGCCCTAAGTGATTCAAGTCTTCCTACCCAAGGAATTCCCTCCTTCAGCAAGAACTTTAAAACATTTACTCAACAAGGACTTATTGGGAGCCTATTATGACAATACAAATATATTTTAAAAACAAAAATCCTTGAACCACGCCTAGAGTGAGGCTACAGGGTAATTTGGAGATTAAAAACACAAATTTAAGAAATGTGATCACATGTTATGATGGAAGTACAAAGGGTCCTAGGAGACTAGTCTGAGCTTACTGGTGGCTTAAGGAACATTTAGGAAGTAGTGGGTGCTTGATTTGAGGTTTACTGAAAAAGCAAGAACTGAGCTGAATGAATGGGGGGTGCAATAGACAGTTGGGTTTCTGGCAAAGGACACTTGTTTCTTCTGAGATACTTCTAAGGTGGATTTACTGCTAAGTTAATGCATGTACTTCAGGGCCCTGACTTTCATTTGCTCTTTCCATGGCCCAAAGGGGGACCTTGGTACGGAGTTCACATGGTCATATGTTGTCTTTACTTTTTTTTTTTTGGTACTGGGGACTGAACCCAGAGGTGCTTAACCACTGAGCCACATCCTCAGTCCTTTTTTTGTTGTTGTTGTTTGAGACAGAGTCTCACAGAGCTGCTTAGGGCCTTGCTAAATTGCTGAGGCTGGCCTCAAATTTGTGATTCTTCTACCTCAGCCTCCTRAGTCTCTGGGATTATAGGCTACATGTACCACCATGACCAGCTTGTCTTGTACTTTAAAAAGAATGTGTCCAAATAAAGTCCAGTTAACACCTGTTTTTCCTTTCCAGCTTCCCTTCTTTCACACTTCCCTTTGTCTTAAGTGCCCTTGGAGTGGCCCTGAACATTTTTGGAATCTGGGCCACTTCGCCATAAGTTATTGCTGTCTCTCCCAATAATGGAATGACTTTTAGGAATTCTCCTAGTCTAGCTGTATACCATCTCACTCAATGCTGGGATACAAATGGACTGTCATAGTTGTTTGACACTGGAAGTATGTGGCTAGTGAAGGAAAAAAGAGGGTTTGAAATGTGTTGAGCTTGAAGCTAATGTTTGGGGAAATCTTACAGTCATCACACTTAAAGTTACAAACAGGATACTTTGCCTTTTGTTTTTAGTAAACTTATTTTAGATTCGCAGAAAAATCGCAAAAAGAGTGGATGAAATTCCTTTGTATCCCTCATCTATTTTCCTTTAATGTTAGCATCTTATATTACTGGAATACATTTATAAAATGAAACAACCAGCATTGGTACATTATTATGGACTAGACTGCACACTTTATTTAGATTCTACTAATGTCCTTTTTCTCTTTCAGGATCGTATCCGAGATGTCACATTGCATTTAGTCATCATGTGTCCTTAGTCTCCTCTGGTTTGTGAAAATTTCTTACTTTTTTGTTTTTCATGATCTTGATATAGCCATGACAGGTTTGGGTATCTGCTCAGGTATTTTGTAAAATGTCCCACGGTTTGAGTTGCCTGATACTTGCACATAATTGGACTGTGATTATAGGGTTTGAGGAAAATATAGTGAGATGCTTGTTTCATCATATAATATCAGCATAATTTAATAATGGTGTTAACTTTTATCATCTGATCAGCATCGTGTTTGCTAGTTTCTCCACTATAAAGTTGCGTTTTTCCCCTTTCCATATTCTTGCCCTTGACAGAAAGTCACTAAATCCTGCCCACTGTCAAGGAAGTATAGGATTAAGCTTCGACTCCTGAAGGGCAATATCTATACATTATTTGGAATTCCTCTATAAGGAAGATTTGTCTCTTCTTCCCATTTATTTATACTCAGTCATTTACTATAGCTTCTTATACGTTTATTCATATGTCATTTTATATTTATACTATGATTTTTATTTGTTGCTCAAATTGTTCCAGATTTGGCTACTGGAAACTCTTTTAGGTTGTCTTGTGTGTCCTTTTTGTCTTTTGATTACCTCCTTTTTTCTAGATCTCCAGGATGCTCCAGGCCATATTGTATTTCTGTCCCCATCCTAGAATCAGCCATTTTTCCAAGGAGCCCTAGAATGGTCTTTAAAACTAAGATCTCAGTACTGAGTATGCTTATTGCTACTGGAGAATCTTTGAATCTAGCCTTTGTTAGAGCTGGTAAATATTGTTACCACCATGTTTTTTTCTTTAAATGCTTCATTTACAACTTTGTGATAGGCAGCCTATAAGGTGTCCCCATTAAGCCTTACCTCTTGGTAGTCAAACTTTTGTGTGTTTTCCTCCTTTTGAGCATAGAGTGGACCTACTGACTTGCTTCTAATGACTTGAATATAGCAAGAATTAGAGGATGTCATTTATTAAATTACAAAATGACTGTGGCTTCCATCTTGCTTGCTTGCTTTTGGTTCTTCTTTCCTTCCTCTGAGGGAAACCAATGACATATATGAGCTTCACTAAGGAGAGGCCCACATGGCAAAAAACTGAGGGAGGACTGTGGCCAACGGCCAGTAATGAACCTCCAGTCATCAGCTTGTGGGAAACTAAATCCTGCTATAAGCCATGGAACTTGAACTTGGAAGGAGATCCCCTCTCTCTCTGGAGTCTTGAATTGACTGGAACCCGAGCTGGCAACTTGATTGCAGCCTTGTGAGAGAGGCAGACATTCAGCTAAGCTGCACATCGACTTCTGATGCACAGAAACCAAGAGAAAATAATTGAATATTGTGTTGAGCTGATAAGTTGCGTGGCAATTTGTTAGGAAGCAATAGATAACTATACAATTTTGGTCTCTTCCACAAGATCAGTGGAGCTATTTAAAATATATATGCCCAAGTCTCTACTTAGAATCTTAGGTGATTGTTCTGCATAGCTAAGTTTGAAGACAAATACAGATAGATACAGGGCAATCCATTTGAGAATATTAGAAAAAATGGACTTTTGTTTTCTTTTTAATGTATTTAATCCTGGAGTTTTTGACCCAGATTAATGACTCAGCTTTCTTGACAGAATCAAGAAAACAAAAACTTTATCTGCTTTGGAGTATTTAATGAATAAAAGAAAAAGTGCCAGAGCTCTCTAACTTAACTGTGTGGCCTTGAAAAAGTTCCTTGATTTCTCTATATCTTCAGATTCCCCAGAAAAATAAGACTGTAATACCATTTTTAGGGAAAGAGGTTTATTCATTTTTAGGTATATTATGCAATAGAAAGGACCAAACTCTGAGCTTCCTTCCATGTAGAGATTTAATCCCTCTAATCCATATTGGTAGACAGATGTTATATTTTGTTGTGGACAGAATGTGGACTTTGGAGTCAGACCGATTTCAAAATATGTCCATGCCATTGGTCAGCTGTGTGTATCCTTGGCCAAGACAGCCTCCCTGGGTCTCCTTTTCCTAACCTGCACAGTGAACATTCTCAGAGTATTTTTGAAAACCTATTGTGTAACATTTGTCAAATGCCAAGGATAATTCCAGGCTTGTCACTATAATCACAATGGAGGACATATAATCAATTTGTCCAGTTATGATCCACTGGATGATCCACTGGTTAGTAAAGTAGGGAACAGTCAAAGGTCCACAACAGACTGTTTCTCATAATGGGTTTAATGGCAACCTCATTTGATGAAGAGAGGTTGGATTAATTCCTCACCCCACCCCCTGCCAGCTTTGAATACATCTATGTAAAAAATATAACGCACTGAAATGGGGCTCGAGTATCTACATTAGAATTCAGGAAAACCTTGATAGCAAAATATCATTGTGTTAAGTAATGACATGCCCACAGAGGTTTTAAGATAAGTTAAGGTTGGATGTGTGTGGGAGAGGTTGAACTACTGTCCAGTCCAGTCTAGGCCAATTGTGAAAACCAACATTATCTCACTGGAGATTAGAGTCAGGGATATAGACAGTGCCCATTGACTACAAAGCTCCTTTAATCACAATAATAGGCAGAAATTTTTGATAGGTGATAAGATTTTAATCTTCTTTAGTCTTGTAAAGCTCAATTAAAAGAATATTTTTACTGTGCCTAGTGACAAGTTGTTAAGCAATTTTAATTTTGTCATATAATTTTGGTTATTCTAAAAAGAATATTCTTCTCTTCATTGTCATATGAAGTGACAGAAAAGTTCTGTATTCAAATGTGTCAAGAGACCACAACCTTTCCGAAATTGTGATATTCCTTGTTATAAATCTAGCCCTTGATCTGGGCACAGCAGCACATGCCTGTAATTCCAGAGACTGGAGAGGCTGAGACAGGAGGATCAGAAGTTTGAGGCCAGCCTCAGCAAGTTAGGAGGCCCTAAACAACTTAGTGAGATCCTGTCTCAAAATAAAAAAAGACTGTGGATATGGCTCAGTGATTAAGTGCCCCTGTGTTCAATCCCCAGTATCCATAAATAAATAAATAAATGCATGAATGAATAAATCCAGCCCTTGGGATTGATTTGACTTACAAGGCTCTTTTTTATGTTTTGTTTTGAAATTTGTGGTTATGGAAAATATCACATATACACAAAAATATAGTACTAGGAATCCTCTTGTATTCATCAGCCAGTATACAGCTACATCTTATATAACTACAAGCTTTCCCCTCCTCTGATTTTTCCTTTCCTTCCTCCCTTTTTCTGGGATGGAACACAGAGACAAAGTACCACCAACCTACATATCCAACCCTTTTTATTTTTTGTTTTTTTTTTTTTTTTTAAAGAGAGAGTGAGAGAGAGAGAGGGAGAGAGAGAGAGAGAATTTTTTTTTTTAATATTTATTTTTTAGTATTCGGCGGACACAACATCTTTGTATGTGGTGCTGAGGATCGAACCCGGGCCGCACGCATGCCAGGYGAGCGCGCTACCGCTTGAGCCACATCCCCAGCCCAACCCTTTTTATTTTTTGAGACAAGGTTCTTATTAAATTGCCAAGGCTGGCCTCAAACTTTGTGATCTTCTGGCTTCAGCATCCTGAGTCACTGGAATTACAGGTGAGTGCCACCACACCTAGTTGCTCCTCTTATTCTTTTGAAACTCATCTCAGGTCATTCCATTCATAAATATTTCACTGTATATCACTAAATGATAAATAGTTTTTTAAGAATATAACTATAATACCATTGTTACATCTAAAACAATAATTAGTTCCTAATATTAAATAAGTGTTCAAATTTACCTTCATGTCTTTTTTTGTTTTTTACAGTTTATCTAGATGGTTTATTTGAATCCACATCCAAAAAGAGCCACATGTTACTTTTGCGGGTACGTCTCTTGCATCTATTTCAATCTACAGTTTCTCCTTCCTGCTTGTTTATTTAGAAACACCTGCCAGGCTCAGTGGCACAAGCCTGTAATCCCAGCAACCAGTTAGGCTGAGGTAGGTGGATTACAAGTTCAAGGCTAGTCTCAGCAATTTAGTGAGGCCTTAAACAACTTAGAAAGATCCTGTCTCAAAATAAAGAAAAATGCTGGGGATGTAGCCCACTGGTAAAGTACCCCTGGGTTCTGTCCCCACAACTCATGCCCCCCCCCAGCAAAAAAAAAAAAAAAGGAGGAGGGGGAAGAGGAGACTTGCAATGGAACTGTTAAACACTCTTCTGCCTTATAACCTAAGTCATAGTTTTGTTTTGTTGTTGTTTTTGTTTTGGTAGAGATTGAAACCCAGAGGTGCTGAACCCCTGAAACATATCCCCAACCCTTTTTATATTTTATTTTGAGACAGATCTCACTAAGTTGCCCAGGCTGGCCATGCACTTGGAATCCCACTACCTCAGTCTCCCAAATTGCTGGGATTACAGGTGTATACTCCACCACACTGCTTTAGATTCTTGTGGTCACAATTATTGGGTTAAAAGGTTATTTATAAGAATAGGTTTTGCTTTGTTGTTTTCTAAAGTGCTGGAATAATTTACATTTTGTAGAAATATATGAAGAATTTTCTACCAGTAACATTGTATCATTTTGATTTTTGCCAGCCTGATGAGGTTTAAGTGATTATTCACATTGTTATGTTAATCTGCATTCTCTTATTACAAGTGAGTTTACATGTTTTTTTTTCAGTTTATTGACCACATGGATTTTCTCTTTATTAAATGCCTATTTATGTTCTTTGCCCAGTTTCTATAGAATTGCTTATTCCCTGCTATTCATTAACCTCTGTCTGCTCACTAGGTTGCACATTTACCCCCAAACTTATTGTGTATTAATATCACTTTATATTTTTTATCCTACTAAAAATTGCTTTTTCTTTGGTAGTGTTAGGGTTTGAACCCTGGGGCCTTGAGCTTGCTAGGCAAGCACTTTATCACTGAACTGTATCCCTGGATTCCAAAATTGCTTTTCAAAACAAGTCAAATATGTTATTTTATTAACTTCTTAGTTTCTGGTCTTGTTTAAGTTTCTCCGTATATCTATGTTATATATGTAGTCTCCAAAATTTGAGGTTTTAATACATCTGGAATTAATCTTTTGGTAAGTGATGAAATATATAGGCCCAATTTCATTTTCATACAGATGGATAGCAAAAGATTCCATTCATAATTATTTATTATTCTTTTAAATTTTATCTTTGTCATGTTTTAAAATGTACATTTGATAGTTCATATACAAAATTCATGAATAAATATACGTCAGAAGTGTGTGTTCAAAAATTTGTTATTTTTGTTGTTTTTAAACTGAGAAGGGTTGTTTATCAAAAAGTTTCAGAAAACATTACTCCCTGTGCTCCTTAGACTCTGAACGTTTTAGAGGGCAAGGATTATGTTCTTCCATCTCTTTAAATCCATAGCTAAGACTATTTCTAACACAATATACATGTTCAAAAAATGACTGTCAAATGATTGAGTGAATAAAATAGCCACTATCTGAATCATATATTTTAAGCAACACAGCTATTAGGAAACTTGACATTCCAGCTGTGTCCTGTGGTAAGATACCCAAGGTGAAGAAAAAGTGAGATTCATAATGGTAAGTAATATAACTTCCTTGGTGTCAAGTTCAGACACTTTTAGTATGGGATGTGAGTTCTTAAAACCTTGAAAGATTTCCCTGAGGCTTGTAATCCATAGGTGCTTAGGAAAGTGGTAATTATCTTTTTGTGGATGCATCTTGTGCTTTTTAATGCTAGTCATTATTTCTTTGTCATGACAGTTTGCAGGAAGAATTGGTCTTAATGGCAGAAGAATGATTATATTTTAGACTGTAGGAACTTCCAAATGACAAAGACTGTGGAACATATATTCTGGACAGTGTCAAAAAATTCCTGCCATTAATTATTAGTTGGGAAAATGCTATATGGCTTTTCCCTTCSTAATACAAAAATTAACCTTATTATAAATAGCAAGTTTAATTTCCTAGATTATTGAGTTGTTTTTATAACAATACTGTACAAAACTTCATTTACTCAACCAGATGGGTTATGTTTAACCTGGCTATGCTCTTTGGACTTAGTATTATTTGCTGCTTTTTTTTTTCTTTTTTTTGCAATTTTCTGCACTTACACCCCACCCCATTTCTTTTTTAAATTCCAGCAGTTGATTGTTACAACCAGTACTCCTACCATTGGACATTCTGCATCATCTCTTTTTTTCTTTATAATTTAGACTCAGTGTTTCCCCACCACCACTCCAACTCCCTTGTGGCCTTGAGGAAAAGAAACCAAGCCAGACACCTACCCCATTGCCCCTTCACGCAGGCAGTGATCCAGAGATGCTTAACAGCTGCTTATCACATCCCCAGGTTTTTTTGTTTGTTTTTTTTTTTTTTAGTTTTTGAGACAGAGTCTCACTAAGTTGCTGAGACTGGCTTTGAACTGCCATCCTCCTGCCTCAGCGTCCAGAGTGGCTGGGATTACAGGAGAGCGCTACCATGGCTGGCCAGGCTTGTTTTTGCTATAGGTCAAATGTTGTGAAAAAAGAATAGTATGGCTTTATTTTGCTCCTATTTTCTTCTTGCATTTATTATAAGAGGATAATCAAAAACAAGGAACACATGGCACAAGTAACCATTTGGTTTTTAAATTTCCTTACAAAGTACAGAAGATATTATTAGCCCGTAAGAGGCCTCTCAAATATGAGCTACACAGCAGAATCAAATTGTAAAAGAGGGAATCCAAAATCCTGTTGTTAGGTAGTAGCTAGCAACAAGCAGTGAAATACAGGCAAGGTCGCTAGTATTCTTTAAATTATCTTAGGGTCCTACTTTAAATTACTTCCAAAATAGACAAGAAAGCAAAGGGTGGTAGTTAATTTGTAGAAAATAAACAGAAGCAAGGGAACTAGTTGAAAATTGTGTCAAGGAAAGGATTAATTGGACTAACTCTTGTCAGGGTCCATTGATGTTGATGTAAAGCTAGGAATTATGGCCAGAAGTGTCTCCAATTGTCTGGGAAGGAAGTTTCCTTTAGTAGTGCAGTTACACTAAGGTAATGGCCTGACCAGAACCTGATCCCAGTGCCCGCATTAACTTGGGTTTGACTTGTAGATGAAGCCTACAACCCCCCCCCCTCCCCAAATAGGATGACCCCATGACAGTTCCAGAGAGGAACACCTAAGGTCAAAAACTGCACTGTGCAACATGAAGGAGGAGTTGAACACTTGGTTAGCAGAGAGTAGAAAAGGTGGTCCCAAATTATCTTGTAAACAGCAAAGAGTAATAAAATTGGGGCCAACAAAGTCTTATTTGTAGTCCTCTACTTGAGACGACCCACTTTCCCCCTTGAGAGTGCTTCTTGCTAAGCCTCACATTCACTTCTAATAAAGTTTTCTTGTATGACTTGATGTCTGATTTTAAATCTTTCCTTAGAACACAAGAACCGAGGTTTGGAGTTTCTGGTCCCTACTTTCCTGTGTCACAGTGGTTTTTTGAGTGCAATAGATGCATTATTGTCAATGACTGGCCTGTGGGATTTAGATTACCTCAAGAAATACTTAAAAAATAAAATAAAATCCATACCTTGACAAAACCAAATCTTTAGTGACTGCTATCAATAAAACAAGTACATAAACCTTTACTTTGATAAATATAAGGAAATAATGATTTTTTAAAAAAGAACTGCGTGACAAAAGAGAAAATTCGAACCAGTCTCTTAGAATGGGAAAAAAAAAAAAAGTCATTTCAAAAAGCAATCACTATTTCAAACAGACAGAACTGTCCTTTGCAGCCTTGGCTTTGCTAGGAACACTGGACACCTAGATGAAATGAACGAAGAGTCCAAGGAACGCTTAAGTCCATAGTAAAAACAAATTTAACGATTGTGAATTAAAATCACAGAAGCAGCAGGGAGCATTGGCAGACGCTGTAATCCCAGTGGCTCCGGAGGCTGAGACCGGAAGCTCTGGAGTTCAAAGCCAGCCTCAGCAACAGCCAGGTGCTAAGCAACACAGCGAGACCCTGTCTCTAAATAAAATACCAAAAAATGAGGCCTGGACCACAGAAGCAAAGAAGCCTTTCCACCACCAGAACGCTGGGAGTTGTAGTCGGTATAGTAAGAGGGCTTCTCCTCCGAATCAAATTTCTTGGGTTAGTGCTCAAAGGACGGAGAATCGTTAGGTCCAATTCAGTGTTCTGTGTCCTCATTGGACCTGTCTATTGAATACTTAGTGCATTTCCCTAATATGCCAATGAACGATTAGCTGTAAGACGGCCTTCGTTGATTGGATACTTTTCCTCGCGTTGAACTCATTACCAGCCAATAGAAGGGCAGAGCCGGCGGAGGTGACAGGGTCACTGAGGGAGAGTCTGCAGAGCATTCCCCGCTAGCGCCTTCGCTCTTGGGCACCTGGAGTTATTCTGGTTGACTGCGATTACTGAAGCCCCGGCAGCGAACCGAGGGTTTCGCTCAGATCTGCCTGGATACCTCTACCTCATCTGTAGCTGTGATCCTGATGGTGCGGCAGGCTGTGGTTTCCTAAAGCTCTGGAGCGGTATGTAGGGTCCAGGGGCGGCAGACAAAGCCKTGGAGTGGGAAGGCCGCGAAAAGCGGCCCCTGCCCTTAGGCGGGGAATCGACCCGGGCGGGCGCGTCAGCCTGCTTTCCAGTCAGGATCCAGTAGTTCGACCCAAGGAGGCGCCTTGAAATGCCCCGCTCGCGTGTACTTTATGAAGATGTTAGCTTTCTTTCCGTCCTCCCTACATCCAACTTTTACCAATCCTAGCATTGTTAGTAATGGGTGTCATCTCGCGTCTTTATCTCTTCAATTTGTTCTTAGGTGACTTTTCTCTGAGTTTGTGCACCCGCATGTCTCCAAAGAGCGGAAGGACATGCTTGGGTTTGACCTAATTAAAGAGAGATCAGTATTCACCTCTGTGTATTTTTAAAAACTGTTCTTTGGGGTTGTTTGTGCTCTTGGCAACTCCTTTCTTGATCTATCCCGACGCTCACAGGCCACCGCACCAAATGTTGTGCGTGTTTGGTGATTGCCAGCATTCTATTTTACCATATCGCCRTTCTTATTTTCTTAGATCCTGGTACCATTCAAGATTGTTATATGAGGAAGTTGAAACTCAAAGAACTTAGCTCCTTGCTAGAAAGGAGAAAGCCAGATCTGATCTTAATGCTTGTTATATATTTCCTTAATCCCGCTCAATTCAATAAGGAATTAGTTTGTGTGTCCTCTGCAGCATGTGAGAGAGAAGTATTTCTCTGAGTTGAATAGTGAATCTTGGCTGAAAGGAAAGAAAATATTTCAGGCCACTGCTGGTTTACAGGTGTTTCACATTGTGTCCTGCTCCTTGCTTCTAGAAGTGTGGCTTCTGACAAGTAGCCCAAGCCTCATCTGGAAGCATGCTGGAAATGCTGAATCTCAGGTCCTGCTCCACCTACTGAATCGGAATTTGCTTTTAAACAGGATCCCTTAGGTGATCAGAGTGCTTATTTTAAGTTTAGGGAACATTCATTGTCTCCTAATGGTTCGTCCAAATTGAACTAAGAAAAAAAAAAAAAAGAAAGAAAGAAAATACAGTATAGTCTCTTGTGGATAAAACTGGAATGTAAAAAGACAAGGAAAAAGTTTTTTCACACTTTTATCATTTCRTAATGAGTCTATGATTTTTAAAAATATGTCTGAATTCTCAATTTTAGCTTGGCAGCCAAAACTCTTAAAATAGGCATGAATATTTAAACTGTGATTCAGAACTATCCTGTAAGACATCAGGTGCTGGTTTTAAAAAGTAAAAAGCAAACTAAGGCATAAGAAATGTTAAATACTACTGCTGACAATTAAAATTTCAAGRACCTTCTGTTTATCCACATACAATCTGTGCACAGTCTAGCTCCTCACCATAATCTGCCCTCTCCTACTTCAAATTGTGTTTGATGTATTAAGAACTTTCAATTAGTTTCTTTGGAAGAAAGGGGTAAATTTACTTCTGCTTGTTTTTTTTTTTTCCAGTTTATTCATTTAGTTATCTGATAAAACTGATATCTAGTCTCAAATAATCTTATTGATAATCTTATATTGATCAATAATTAAAGAAAGGCTCTTGTAGGATTTTAATGTTCAGGGTTTTAGTCAGATRTTCATAGCCGTCATTTAAAAAAATTGATTTATAGAACAATGTAAAATTTGTGCCAGAAATCAACTGGTGTGTTTATTAAAATAAATCTTGGATTGGGAAGTGAAATGGATCAAATTATATTTTTATATATGCCACAAGGAAACCCACCATTTTGTATAATTAACATGCACCAATAAAAACATAAAAAGAAGACCCCCCAAAAAAAGTGTTTTGTGTTCTACCTCCATAGATTCCTACTTTATGGGGTAGGGCCTAGGAATTTGCATATTAACAATAATCTCAGTATATTTTTGATTTAAAAAAAAACTATAGAAAACAAACTTACTTGGTATTGAGCCTAATACTCATTATAGAAGAAGGTAGGTTTGTTTTATGGTTCGTTGGCTGCTATAATATTGCTCAGAAAAGCGTGTCAGGTTATTTAAAAGTTATTTTGAAGTTTTTCCCCTAGCCTTTAAAGACAAGTATTTCTGCTGGCTTGAGGCACAGGCAAAATGGTTTTTGGGCTTCTTGATTTACATACAGCCTTCTTTGAGCCTTTCTTTTTCCCCAGAGGAGCTTGTCTTTTGTAGACCTGAAGGGTTTTTGTTTTAGATAGGGGGGAGGAACAAAAATCTATCAGCTGGTCACTTTTCCCTGAGGCACTTGTTTCAGGCTCAGAAGTGCTCYAAGGGAAAAAAGCACTGGCAGTGTTACAGTTTAAGAAAGTATAGCAAAGGTTACAAGCTTGAAGTATATTGTCTATTGTAACTTTAGTGTTAAAGTATGTATTACTAAAAAGGAATTTATTAGACTATGGAGGGTGACATATGTTCTTTAAATATTGTATACATGTGACTAACATGCTTTCGTTATTCAACTTATATTCATTTTATTTTTCTCAAACTGGAATTGCTAATTTAATGTTTTTGCGATTTAGATTCATCTGTTTCTTTATAAAGATGTTGTTATCCTGGTTATTTAATAAGTTTGATAATATACCTCAGCATCCCAGAAKTAATTTTGCAAACCTTTTCTACAGAATTTATGAAGATTTTATTCATGTACATGACATAGAAGATGAATTCTTCCTCCTCCACCATGAATGAAGAACCTGATGCTCTGTCAGTAGTTAACCAGCTWCGAGATTTGGCAGCAGATCCACTGAATAGAAGAGCCATTGTTCAAGATCAGGGATGTTTGCCTGGCCTTATTTTATTTATGGACCACCCAAACCCCTCTGTTGTCCACTCAGCTTTGCTTGTAAGTTGCCGTTAGTATTCATTTTGGAAATAAGGAGAATTTGAAAAGGTATCAGATGAACATGGTAAAAAATTAAAAGAAACTAAGGCAAATAATAGTCCCTTTTCCACAAATGGTACGTTGGTTTTTATTTTTTTTAATACGAGTGGCAGCACTACATATGTGAAATGTTCTACAACTTCCTATTTTTCAGTTAACAAGATGTCTTTTTGTGTGTGTGTGT